GGATGGATGGATGGATGGATGGAAGGATGGATGGATGGATGGATGGATGGATGGATGGATGGATGGATGGATGGATGGATGGATGGATGGATGGATGGATGGATGGATGGATGGATGGATGGAGACATTTTTAATCGGTTTTACTCAGCTCATCAGTTGTAAATGTGCATTCAATAGTACTCTGAAAAGTTCATCAGAATCCGTCCACTGGTGAATGGGATATTTTGCTAACAGATGAGACTGGGGGTTGGGACTCATTCAGGGGGTGTATGTGTGTCTGCACAGCTCTGCTGCACTGCAGTGATCCCTCCATGCCGTTCTGTCAGACATCACTCCCCGCGTGGGGATTATACATGTGGACCCATCTGAGACCAGTCTGCAGCTGGTCCCACTGATCCCCTCCAGCTGAGTTTACACCAGTGCTGCTGATGATGCAGCGGCTCCTTTGTTGTCCTCCATCACACCCTGCCCTCCTATTTAATAACGCAGCATCATGTTTATTTATGAATCTATGATATAATTTAAATAATGGCACATCAAAGGTGGCAGAGAGTGGAGAAGATGCAAAGAGTCCAGTTTTGTGTACTCGGTGCCCTGCAGTGGTTCTCTCTGCTGGCAGCCTCTCAAAGGCACAGTCGCATAAAGCAGAACTAGTTTGAACCGGATCAGAACTAGTTCGCTATCGATAAGGCTGCTGCTGCATCCACACCCCGTTCCCTCCTCCTCGTGGTCTCCTCCTCCTGGTTAGGAGGAGGAGGAGCAGATGTCCCGCAGCGCCTCCGACTCCTCATGTTCTCAGCTCCGACATTAAAGGCTGTTAAAATGCGGCTTTCTCTTCAAACCACGCAGCGCATCCTCCGCTCGGAGCGGCTGGAGGATGCTCCGCGCATGCGTAGTGTTCGGCTAGTGCCGCTTTCAAATGCTGTGGGAAAAGAGTTCGCATCGATGGCGAAGTTTTGCTGGCAAAGATTTAAAAGCACCAGTCACAACACTCAAAATTATCAAAAGTGAAACACAAAAGTATCAAGTATGTCAATTATTTAAATAGTACATAAAAATCCCAAGGCTGACTAAAGTAACCACCTGACAACAAGCCAGACAATAATAAGAACATTGCATTTCCTGCAAAAATGCAATGTGAATCCTTATTGCAAAAGAACTTACTGGAAAATAGCTGAAAATAAATAAACATGCTGAAATGTAGCTGAAATGAAGAACATGCATAAATTAGCAGAACAAAGTAGAAAGCACACATATTTAATGTGTAGTGGCTTACTACATTAATACTTTTGGGTTCATTAAATAAAACACTTGGTTCTGTTTGACAGCAAAATAGGGGTTTTATTTGAACTAGGTTTAAATAAGGAGAAATGAGCTCAAAAATTAGTAAATTAGCTTAAAAATGCTGAAATTAACAAACAATAGCTGAAAAGTAGCTGAAAAGGCAGAAAGAAGTTTAAGCTAGCAGAAAAAGTCTGCAAGCAGAAATAAGTTATAGGCTGAAAGGAATTTATCTGAAAATAGTTTAAAAAAAATAGCTAAAAAATATGCTGAAAAAGTAAGATGAAAAGATAGAACAAACTTAAATTAGCATAAGAAAGCAGAAAGAACGTTTGCCCAATTAGACTGAAAGAAGCAGAAATTAGCACAAAAAAGTGGAAATTATCTGAAAAAAGCAGAAATTAGAACAAAAAAACTTAAATGTAGCAAAAAAAAGACAGAGAGAAGCTGAAATTACAAGAAGAAAGTTGAGGGAGCACATTTTTGCTGAATTAGGCTGAAAAAAGTTTAAATGAGTGCAAAACATGTGAATTTAGCTGAAAAAGCTAAAGTTAGCACAAAACAGCAAAAATAGTAGTTGAAAGGAGCATGACAAGCTGAAATTAGCAGAAAGAAATTAGAAGAAGTTCAAAAAGGTTGTAATTTGCAGGAAAAAATCTAAAAGAATCCCATAAACAGCTGAAAAAAACCAGCTAAAATTAGCTGAAAATAGCTGAATTTTTTTTTTACATTCGCACAAGGAAGCTGAAAGAAGCTGAACAGAACAAGATGTGAAATGAGCAGCAAAAGGTTGTAAACAGATCTAAAGATGTGATGGGTGTAAAATGAGCTCAAGTCATTTTTTATGAGGAAAAAAATGTCAGAAAAGTTTAAATATTTAAAAAAGCTAAAGTTGCACCAATACCAAAAGTCATGGCAGGATTGTCCTGGACGAGCTGAACGTTTCGATTTATGATTAGTTGAAATAGCACAAAAATTGTGGAATGAGATGCTGAAAAATGTACAGAAGAAAATGGATCACATGTATGAATGCTTCATAAACATTCACACAATAACAGAAGAATTAAAGACCTAGCATGAAGGAATGCATATCGCCCGCCGCCTTTCCAGAGTTTTAAACTGATCATATTTTGATGACAACTTACTCAAACCTCAAAATAACATTATATGAGATCGCATGCAATGCTGTGAGATCTCACAAGATGTGCCAGTGCTTGGAGTAGGTGTTGAGGATGACTCTCAGCTACAACTATACCAAACTTTAGCTCAAGATCTATAAATCTGATAAAGTTATGGCTATTTTGTGTTTGACAAGTGTCTTAGCTGTGGTGGTCATGTTGAATTGGTTTGACTTCAAAAGTTAATAATTTATGTGCTTTCATTGATTCCCATTTTTGTCAAACAAAAAAAATATAATTCAAACCTTTATTTATACAGATAAATCACATTGAGCCTCGAAGACTCATTTACAAGTGAGACCTGTTTGGACAGCCAAAAAATAATGAAAGTGACAACAAGTAGGATTTGGAGGCAAAAAATAAATCCAGACAGACTCTCATTCCTTGGCCGAGGAAAGATAGCCTGAAATTGATCAAAACACCCCGCACATAAGCACATAATGATGCAGACATTCCACAGGAAAGGGAGACAACAAGGGCGGTGAGCGTGTCTAAGGACGTTCCTGGAGGCACTGTAGGAGCGCCAGAGAGAATCCAAGAGTCCGTAGACTTCCTTGGTGGGAGAGGGGAGAGAGCAGAACGTTGAGATTTACAGAGCCTGTCAAGGCCAGCCGGGGAGCTGAATTCAGATAAACAACATTTGTTTTGGGGACAGGTAGAACTTTACTGATTTATGTCTGTCTTGAGTCTTTGCTGGTCCTCACGGAAATCCCGAAACATCCCAATTAAGTGAACATACCGCTGGTCCGTGCCTGAGGGTGCTCCCCAAGATCTGATCCATCATGCCTGCGAATCCTAGGGGCAATTCTAACAAATCACATCCAATTTGCAGTTCAGTTCGCAAAGCAATTGAGTCTGGGTGCTCGAGGCACGGAGCAAACCATCATATAAGACAGGCAGCCTGACCAGGGCCAACAATGTCCCTGTGATGGACTTGCGACCTGTCCAGGGTGTCCCCCGCCTCTTGCACACTGACTGCTGGATATGGACAGTAGTGACCCCCGTGACCCAGAAAGGAAGAAGCGTGTAAAGATGATGGATGTTGAACAATGTGTAGCACTCGGAGTATGTCTTGTGAATGACTCTCAGCAACTAGCACACCAAATTTTACTCCAATATCTGAAGAATTAGTTGAATTATTTGAAATTTTTGTGTTTCATAAGCT